AGGTCACTCTCCCTGAACCGTGAGCTTTATCATACCTCTGCTTAAAGCTATGTATGGAATCTGCCTCCACTACATCGCTTCCCAAACTATTCCACTTACTGACTACCCTGTGGCTGAAGAAATACTTCCTAACGTCCCTCTGATTCATCTGTGTCTTCAACTTCCAACTGTGTCCCCTTGTTGCTGTGTCCAATCTCTGGAACATCCTGTCTTTGTCCACCTTGTCAATTCCTCTCAGTATTTTGTATGTCGTTATCATGTCCCCCCTATCTCTCCTGTCCTCCAGTGTCGTCAGGTCGATTTCCCTTAACTTCTCCTCGAAGGACATACCTCTTAGCTCTGGGACTAGTCTTGTTGCAAATCTTTGCACTTACTCTAGTTTCTTTACGTGCTTGGCTAGGTGTGGGTTCCAAACTGGTGCCGCATACTCCAATATGGGCCTAACGTACACGGTGTACAGGGTCCTGAACGATTCCTTATTAAGACGTCGAAATGTTGTTCTGAGGTTTGCTAGGCGCCCGTATGCTGCAGCAGTTATTTGGTTGATGTGCACTTCAGGAGATGTGCCTGGTGTTATACTCACCCCAAGATTTTTTTCCTTGAGTGAGGTTTGTTGTCTCTGGCTCCCTAGGTTGTACTCCGTCTGCGGTCTTCTTTGCCCTTCCCCAATCTTCATGACTTTGCATTTGGTGGGGTTGAACTCCAGGAGCCAATTGCTGGACCAGGTCTGCAGCCTGTCCAGATCCCTTTGTAGTTCTGCCTGGTCTTCGATCGAACGAATTCTCATCAACTTCACGTCATCTGCAAACAGGGACACTTCGGGGTCTATTCCTTCCGTCATGTCGTTCACAAATACCAGAAACAGCACTGGTCCTAAGACTGACCCCTGTGGGACCCCGTTGGTCACAGGCGCCCACTCTGACACCTCGCCACGTACCATGACTCGCTGCTGTCTTCCTGACAATTATTCCCTGATCCATTGTAGTGCCTTCCCTGTTATCCCTGCTTGGTCCTCCAGTTTTTGCACTAATCTCTTGTGTGGAACTGTGTCAAACGCCTTCTTGCAGTCCAAGAAAATGCAATCCACCCATCCCTCTCTCTCCTGTCTTACTGCTATCACCATGTCATAGAACTCTAGTAGGTTTGTGACACAGGATTTCCCGTCCTTGAAACCATGTTGGCTGCTGTTGATGAGATCATTCCTTTCTAGGTGTTCCACCACTCTTCTGATAATCTTCTCATGACTTTGCATACTATACATGTCGGTGACACTGATCTGTAGTTTAGTGCTTCATGTCTGTCTCCTTTTTTAAAGATTGGGACTACATTTGTTGTCTTCCATGTCTCGGGCAATCTCCCTGTTTCGATAGATGTATTGAATATTGTTGTTAGGGGTACACATAGCGCCTCTGCTCCCTCTCTCAGGACCCATGGAGAGATGTTATCCGGCTCCATTGCCTTTGAGGTATCTAGCTCACTCAGAAGCCTCTTCACCTCTTCCTCGGTTGTGTGTACTATGTCCAGCACTTGGTGGTGTACCCCACCTCTCCGTCTTTCTTTAGCCCCTTCTGTCTCCTCTGTGAACACTTTTTTGAATCTCTTGTTGAGTTCCTCACATGCTTCACGGTCATTTCTTGTTGTCTCTCCTCCTTCCTTCCTTCCTTAGCCTGATTACCTGGTCCTTGACTGTTGCTTTCCTCCTGATGTGGCTGTATAACAGCTTTGGGTCAGATTTGACTTTTGCTGCTATGTCGTTTTCATATTGTCGTTGGGCCTCCCTTCTTATCTGTGCATATTCATTTCTGGCTCTACGACTGCTCTCCTTATTCTCCTGGGTCTTTTGCCTTCTATACTTCTTCAATTCCCTAGCAATCTTGGCTTTTGCCTTCCTGCACCTTTGGGTGAACCATGGACTCATCCTGGCTTTTTCATTATTCCTGTTACCCTTGGGTACAAACCTCTCCTCAACCTCCTTGCATATTGTTGTTACATATTCCATCATCTCATTAACTGGCTTCCCTGCCAGTTCTCTGTCCCACTGAACCCCGTTCAGGAAGTTCCTAATTCCCGTGTAGTCCCCTTTCTTGTAGTTTGGCTTCATTGCCCTGGCCTTCCTGCTTCCCCCTCCACTTGTAGCTCTACTGTGTGTAATCACCTAATTGCACTCCCCTAATTGTGGTTGCAGGGGTCGAGACTCAGCTCCTGGCACCGCCTCTTCACTGAGCGCTATTAGGTCCTCTCTCTCCCTGCTCCATGAGCATTATTATATCTCTTCTTAAAGCTATGTATGGTTCCTGCCTCCACTACCTCACTTGCTGGACTATTCCACTTCCTGACTACTCTATGACTGAAGAAATACTTCCTAACATCCCTTTGACTCATCTAAGTCTTTAATTTCCAATTGTGACCCCTTGTTTCTGTGTCCCTTCTCTGGAACATCCTGTCTCTGTCCACCTTGTCTATTCTATGCAGTATTTTGTATGTTGTTATCATGTCTCCCCTAACCCTCCTGTCCTCCAGTGTCGTCAGGCCGATTTCCCTTAACTTTTCTTCGTAGGACATTCCCCTTAACTCTGGAACTAACCTTGTCGCAAATCTTTGCACTTTCTCTAATTTCTTGACGTGCTTGATCAAGTGTGGGTTCCAAACTGGTGCTGCATATTCCAGTATGGGCCTGACGTACATGGTGTATAGTGTTTTGAACGATTCCTTACTAAGGTATCGGAACGCTATTCTCAGATTTGCCAGGCGCCCACATGCCGCAGCAGTTATCTGGTTGATGTGTGCTTCTGGAGACGTGTTTGGTGTTACACTCGCCCCAAGATCTTTCTCCTTGAGCGAGGTTTGCAGTCTTTGGCCACCTAGCCTATACTCCGTCTGCAGTCTTCTTTGCCCTTCCCCGATCTTCATAACTTTGCATTTGGCGGGGTTAAATTCGAGAAGCCACTTGCTGGACCAGGTGTCCAGCCTGTCCAGGTCCCTTTGAAGTCCTGCCTGATCCTCATCTGCTTTAATTCTCCTCATTAACTTCACATCATCTGCGAACAGGGACACTTCTGAGTCTATCCCTTCCATCATGTCATTCACATATACCAAAACTAGCACTGGTCCTAGGACCGACCCACGTGGGACCCCGCTCGTAACAGGTGCCCACTGTTATACCTCATCACGTGCCATGACTCGTTGTTGCCTCCCTGTCAGCTATTCTCTGATCCATTGCAGTGCCCTTCCTCTTAATAAACACGCCTGATCCTCTAGATTCTGCACTAATCTCTCGTGAGGAACTGTGTCGAAGGCCTTCTTGCAGTCCAAGAAGATGCAATCAACCCACCCCTTTCTCTCGTGTCTGTGTGTGTGTATGTGTGTACTCACCTAATTGTGGTTGCAGGGGTCGATACTCAGCTCTTGCCTCTTCACTGATCGCTAATGGATCTTCCCTCTCCCTGCTCCATGAGCTTTATCTTACCCCATCCTAAAGCTATAAATGGTTCATGCCTCCACTACCTCACTTCCTGACTACTCTATGACTGAAGAAATACTTCCTAACATCCCTTTGGCTCGTCTGAGCCTTCAACTTCCAATTGTGACCCCTTGTTTCTGTGTCCCTTCTCTGGAACATCCTGTCTACCTTATCTATTCCACGCAGTATTTTGTATGTCGTTATCATGTCACCCCTGACTCTCCTGTCCTCCAGTGTCGTCAGACCAATTTCCCTTAACATTTCTTCGTAGGACATTCCCCTTAGCTTTGGAACCAGCCTTGTTGCAAACCTCTGCACTTTCTCTAATTTCTTGACGTGCTTGACTAGGTGTGGGTTCCAAACTGGTGCTGCGTACTCCAGTATGGGCCTGACGTACACAGTGTATAGAATCTTAAACGATTCCTTACTGATGTATCGGAACGCTATTCTCAGGTTTGTCAGGCGCCCATATGCCGCAGCATATGGTTAATGTGGCCTTCCGGCGACGTGCTCGGTGTTGTACTCACCCCCAGATCTTTCTCCTTGAGTGAGGTTTGCGGTCTTTGGCCGCCTAGCCTATACTCTGTCTGCGGTCTTCTTTGCCCTTCCCCGATCTTCATGACTTTGCATTTAGCAGGGTTAAATTCTAGGAAACAGTTGCTGGACCACGCGTCCAGCCTGTCCAGGTCTCTTTGTAGACCTGTCAGGTCCGCATCTGATTTAATTAATTAATTTCACATCATCTGCAAATAAGGACACTTCTGAGTCTATCCCTTCCGTCATGTCATTCACATATACCAGAATAGCACTGGTCCTAGGACCGACCCCTGTGGGACCCTGCTCATCACGTACCATGACTCGCTGTTGCCTCCCTGTCAGGTATTCTCTGAGTCATTGCAGTGCCCTTCCTGTTATACGTGCCTGATCCTCTAGCTTCTGCTCTAATCTCTTGTGAGGAACTGTGTCGACGCCCTTCTTGCAGTCAAGAAAATGCAATCGATCTACCTCTCCCTCTCATGTTTTAATTCGGTTACCTTGTCATAAAACTCCAGTAGGTTTGTGACACAGGATTTGCCTTCAATGAATCCGTGCTGGCTGTCGTTTATAACCATGTTCCGTTCCAGGTGCTCCATCATTCTCTTCCTGATTATTTTCTCCATGACTCTGCATACTATACACGTCAGTGACATTGGTCTATAGTTTAGTGCTTCGTTTCTGTCCCCATTCTTAAAGATGGGGACTTCATTTGCTGTCTTCCATGCCTCAGGTAGTTGCCCAGTTTCAAGGGATGTGTTGAAGATTGTGGTTAGTGGCACACACAGTGTCTCTGCTCCCGCTCTAAGGACCCAAGGAGAGATGTTTTCTGGTCCCATCGCCTTTGAGGTATCAAGATCACATAGGAGCTTCTTCACCTCCTCCTCGGTTGTGTGTATTTCATCCAACACTTGTTGGTATATCCCTTGTTGGTGTACCCCTCTGTTTTGTGTGTGTGTGTGTGTGTGTGTGTGTGTGTGTGTGTGTGTGTGTGTGTGTGTGTGGTTTACAATAATTTACTTTTCTCTGGGATTACTTCTTCCAAGAAACCAAGATGGCGTAAAGTGCGGAGCGCATTGTTGATCAGTGAATCCTTGTACCTCCAGACTCTAGTGTCAACAACCGTGTGATTTTTGAAGTAGATGCAATGTTTTTTTGGCATCTGTCTAACGCAGTCTTGGCGATAGTGCTGGAGCTGAGCAAGCTCAGTGGGTAAGTTCTTCACTTCACACTTGTCTAGGCATGATATGGCATAATGATTGTGTAGAGTGAGCACTCGCTCGGTATCATGAAAGCACTTCACATACCAACCAGGCTTGGTGTAATTGGCACTACGATAGATGTGCTGCAATATGTGTAGGTAAGGTGGTATGCTGTGGTTCTGGCTGTGTGTAGGTTGCATTGTGTCGAGGAAGTATACATTGCTAGCACAGAAAGATGTCCATTTATTGTTATATTGGTTGACCGCCCCTGGCGACACTTCCTCCAGAAGTGACGTCCAGTCTACAGCGGACTTTGCTACAATGACTTCATCTATGTCCATCAGAAGTACAAACTTATAACGGTACATATTTCTGTTTAAACAGTCATTGTATGGTATTAGTTCATGTAGACGTTTGTGATTTACTTTATTTTTTAGGTATAGATGTAATAAACCAAACACATTTGGTTGTTCACCTGGCAATGATATTTTTCTAATATCCACTCGTCCTAAGGACTCATAATAATTTAAAACTTTGGAAACATTTGGATGTATACCCATATCATAGAAAAATACTTCGTCAGCTCCTAGAAGAAAGAGCAGTTCTAACCACTCCACCAACCTCACGCTGTTGTCCAAGTTGTAAAATTCTAATCCCTTGACGCACACGGCAAAAGACTTTTTCCGACCATCTGCTGGCTGGTTGTTGATGATGCGAAGGTTATTGGTGGGCTTATCACAAGGTTGTTCAACCAGCGACACAGATTGTGGCTCCAAGCGACTGTGTTTATCAGGAATTATGCACTCAATCATATATGGATATAATATTTCTTCTTCAATTTCCCACTCATCACGCCATATACGTTTATGGACTCTGACCTTCGAAATAACGGGAAAACTTTGGCCATCATACCAGATCTGGCAGTTAGTTTCCGTAGTTGGTTGAAGGGAATTAGCCATGCCAAGAATGCGAATGCTAGGCTTGCTTTTACTTAAAGTACGATTGTCATAAAAGGCGCTGTACAGGTAAAGCGTATTATTACTGAGTTGGAGGACCTGCCAGTAAATGTTGTTATAGTGAATATCTAACACTGATGGGTATGAAGCACAAGTATTGTTGCTGGAGCCTAACAGAGGGTTGTTTGCTTTTCGGTATATAAGAGGCAGGTTAGGCAGTGAGGCCAGAAATTTTCTTTCATCCTTCACAGTCTGGTCGACGATCACCTTCAAGGACAGTTCGCTGGAATGTGAAACCGAGAAGGAAAATCAGGACAAAAAAAATATTTTGTTATTAATATTCAAAATTCTTAATTTGTATAGGCAAAACTCAAACGTGGAAGCAGAACTGAGGGATGATGTGTCATCCATCACGAGACAGGGCAAGTGTCTCCTGACACAAGTGTTAAGTCAATTAATGACACTTTCAGGTGTCATTAATTGACACCCCAGTCAAAAAAAATAATTAATCACCACCATAAAATATCCTAAGATGGTGATGGGCAAAGTGGTATACTTTAACCTCCAAATGAGGTCCTCTTCACAAGATAAAGAGAATCTCAACTGGGGAAGAAAATATACAAATCTACACTCATTTTTGTCGGTCTACATGTGGTTTTTTTCATGGTATAGACAAAACTTTATCACACACTGATGCTCATACACGAAGGGTAATATTACAAAATATCTAAACGATAACATGGCTGATCTATACTGTGTGTCCCGTAGCTCGATTGGTAGCGCACTCAGCTCACACACCCATGTCCTGGGGTCGATCCCCGGTACGTGTGGAAACTTTAGGACGTGTTTCCTTAAGATACCTACTGTCCATGTTCACCTAGCAGTAAAATAGGTACCTGGTGTTAGTCTCTGTGGGTCTAATCTTGGGACAAAATTAACCAAATTTGCCAGAAATGCTCTGCATAATAAATAAATATTGATTTCCTTGTCAAACTTATAGTGTGTGGTTTGCATATTATAAAATGTTAATTACAAACAAGACTTCTAGCATGCCTAGGCATTTCTGGCAAACTAATACTAATTCTGACTCTATATTGGCACAGGTTATTAAACAGTATATTTCAATATACATTATTGCGTACTGATATAAAAGTTAGGTAACTGAAGTGATTAATCAGATTTATAATGAGGCAGTACAAAATATAATATTATAACTAGTAAATTTAATAACGGGAATGGTTTTGTCTTGACATGATAATTTGTTTCTATAAAAGCTCCTCCCCTCAAGGAAGGTTCCTTGATGTTGGTGAGGGGCTCTTGATTTAGGGAATTGGATCTGTGCTCCAGTTCCCCGAATTAAGCCTGAATGCCTTCCACATCCCCCCCCCCAGGCGCTGTATAATCCTCTGGGTTTAGCGCTTCCCCCCTTGATTATAATAATAATAATATAAAAGCTCCTATATTGGGAGAGTATTTTTGGCAAACTTTGGGCTAATTTAAAAAAAATAGGCAACAGATATATTAGGATTTTTTTTTTGGTTTACATTCATTTGGGTGAGTGTAAGTGTAAATTAGGGGGAATTACAGATAACGAGAGTAAGTCTATTTTGTTTTTAATGTGTTCATGATACAAATAGGAGAATAGGTGGTTTTCATATAGATAACTGATGATGGGGTGTGTTAGGGATATAAGATTTTTTTAATGGTAGTTTTGAAAATGGTCGTTGAGTCTGCAGTTCTCGAGTTTTCAGGAAGCGAGTTCCAGATTTTAGGCCCTGTTATGAACATCGAATTTTTTGTAGAGGTTTAGCCGGACCCGAGGAATGTCATAGAGATTTGTGTGTCTGGTATTGTGTCTATGGGTCCTGTTGCAACTATCAAGAAAGTGTTTTAGTTCAGGGTTAATATTATAATTTATGATTCTGTAAATGTAGGTTGCACAGTAGTAGGTGTGAATGTTTTGTACAGTAAGTTCAGGTCTTTGAAGAGTGGGGGGGAGGGTGTTGTCTGGCATTGGACGCGTGATAATTTTTACTGCAGCTTTTCGTTGGGTTATTATTGGCTTTAGGTGGGTTGCTGGTGTTGATCCCCAAGCACAAATAGCATAGGTGAGGTAGGGATAGATGAGTGAATGGTATAGTGTGTGTTGGGCTGACTGTGGTACACAGTAGCGTATCTTGGAGAGGATCCCAACAGTTTTGGATACTTTTTTTGTTATGTGTTGGATATGGGTGTTGAATTTCGGGTTGCTGTCAAGGTGCAGATCCAGGAATTTGCTCTCATTATGTCTAGGAATAAGAGTGTTGTCAATCTTAGTGTTCAGCTGGACAACACCTGTTTTGCTCCCAAACATAATGTAGTAGGTTTTATCAATATTAAGTGTAAGTTTATTAGCACTCATCCAGGTCGATATTTTTACTAGCTCTTCGCTAACAATTAGGGTGGGAGATGACATAATTCTTGTCGTCAGCACAGAGAATAGGTTTAAGGTGTTGTGATATATTAGGTAGATCATTGATGTATTAGAGGAAGAGCAGGGGACCAAGGACACTTCCATGTGGTCGTCCAGTATCCAGTGGTCTTGTTGATGAGGTTGTGGCCTTAACAGAGACGTATTGCTGTCTGTTAGTAAGGTAGGATTTGAAATATGTAAGTGCGTGGCCTCATATACCATAATGATCAAGTTTGTGGAGTAGGATGCCGTGGTCTACTGTATCAAAAGCTGTCCTTAGGTCAGTAAAGAGTGCTAATGGATATTCATTTTTTCAAATGCTGTGTAAAGCAGGTCTAGCATTTTTACAATTGCGTCGCTTGTGCTTTTGCTTTTCCTGTAACCAAATTGGTAGGGGTTGAGGATGCTTTGCGCTGTTATAAAAGAATATAATCTCTTGTGCACGAGTTTCTCGAAGATTTTGAATAGTAACGGTAAGTTTGATATTGGCTTGTAGTTACTTACATCTGTGGGGGTCACCATCTTTGTGTATTGGTGTAATATTTGCTATCTTCAGTAGTGTGGGGAAAGTGTTGGTTTCTAGTGACTTGTTAGAGAGTAATGAAATAGTAAGCGAAAGATCATGAGTTAGTTTAATATGTTTATTATGCACCCCATACCCATCCTGTGGGCGGTAGTCAAAAGATTACAGAGGTACATAATGGGTCCAGGGACTGGGCCTCAAAGTTTTGATAGCTGAGCAAGTTACAGAGGTAATGAATTCACAATTTACAAAGGTAATGAACTCACAATTTACAAAGGTAATGAACTCCAGGTAGGTCTAGTCACAATCATGACAAGTTACAAAGGTATTTACAGATTACAGAGGTACACAATGGGTCCAGGGACCGGGCTCCAAAGTTTTGATGGCTGAACTAGGTACAAGGTAATGAACTCACAAGTTACAACGGTAATGAATACTGTAAGAATGGTTACTTACGTTTATACATGGCTGCAATCATGAACAAATTTTAGAGTAATGAGCAATTCACACTTCCACACCCGGTCACAACTGTAGTGAGTTATTGGTGCAAATGTTGATTGCTGAGTCTCTCTCTCTCACACACACACACACCGCTCGTTTGTACAATATTGGCGGGACTTGAGCCAGATTTCCTGATATATTTTTAAACGACTTAATAATCGTGGTGACTTCAGTGGGCTCGGTTGTGCAAAATAGAAGGAGGTTGGGAAATTCCCATCTAAGTAGTCACTTGCTCGGGCACTGGTACCTGGGAATTTACTGGCGAGATTTGAGCCTATGGTTGAGAAAGTCATTTATCTTATTAACTGTATCAATAGGCTGTAGTTATGTTTCATTTGTTTTAGTTAGGACAATATCCCTAGTTTTTTTCAGTTTGTGAGTGCCCAGAATCTGAGATTGGAGTAGTACAATTACTTAGTGTTTAATAATATCTTTGCTTATTAAGTCCTATCTATATCTCTTTTCATATTGATGTTTCTTATCAATGGATCTTAGTATGGTGCTAGTTAGCCATGGGCAACCTAGCCGTTTATTCGTAATCTGTTTCGTTTTTATGGGACAATGTTTGTTTTACAGTCTATGTAATTTATAAAGAAATGTGTCTATCCAATCATCGATACCATTGGTACTGGAGAATTCTGCAGGCCAGTCAATCATCCCTAACTCTGCTGTGAAAGTTACATATTGAAGCCTCGTCATGGAGTCTAAAAGACACCTTCTTGTATTCCAGTGGTTGTTTACTAATATTTGTTAAGAGGAAGGTAGGGTAGTGGTCAGTAGTGCTGTCTGTGATTATCCCTGATTTAAGGGGACCTAGTATATTGGTCCATATATGGTCAGTTATGGTTACACTTGTCTCAGTTAACCTGGTTGGTTTTGTTATAGCTGGAATGAGTACTGTGTTGTTCACATTGTTGATGAAATCAGTTACTGGCTGGTCATCTGTTAAGGTTAAATGTTGAAGTCTCCGCCTCAGAGAAGGTAGTATTTGTTTATTTGGTTGTTTGTTACTAGTGTTATCGCTGAAATTTAGGCTGCTTGAATGAGGCATCCGGTAATTGGCACCGACTGTTATAGGAGTCTTCAGGTTTTTTACAGTAAAATTTGCAAAAATATATCCTCCATATTCATCACTATAGCAAGTGGTGTTATAACATCAGGGTTTATTAGAGTAATAGATGGCAATAGCACCCTAAACTTGGTATGGTCTGCAGTTGTGGATTGCTGTGTAACCTGGTACTGAGTAGATATCATTCATGTCTTGCTTAGGTCTCATTTCGGAGGGAATAATACAGGATAAGGTTGTCTTCAGGGAATCAAGGTTTTGCCAGGAAATCATCATAGGGACCTAACTGAGAACTGTAATAGTTCTGGCATTACTGATGACAGTCCTGGCTTTTGATGCTGTGTAAGAGGCAATTACTTTCCATTGAATTTTTATAGGGAGTTAGATTATATAGATTTAGAGCTGGGTCGACATGATCATTCAGTAATTAGGTTAAATGACAGTTATTTGTAGTGTGTTCAGTTCCAGTAATGATATCTATAATAAGCGGATGTTTGGACAAGTGTGTAGTTCATGTATGTTGGCCAAATAGTGTATAAACTAATAAACATAATGAACTTAATTGTGGACTATGTATTAAGCTTTTTATTACCTTGTGCGAGACTTAGGACCATAAAGTTCAGAAAGAGGACTCAGTGAGTGCAAGGAAGACTGTGGCCGGGGTCCCACCATCGCTGTGTTCCAGGGGTTCCAAACATCCAGACTGAAGCAATAAAATCCATATTTAAAAACAAGAAAGAAGGAGCACTATGCAGCAGGCCTACTGGCCCATGCTAGGCAGGTCCAAGTCACCTACTGGCCGAAGCTACTGGCCGAGCCAGTCAGGCCCAAGTCACATCCACTTAAGAAAATACATTACAGAAAAAAATATTTGGACAAAGTGTATATAATACACAGTACAGCACAATACAACTTGATTTCTTTTCTGCCGTAAATAAAATATAGTCTACACTTAGTAAACTATTGTTAAGTATAAAACAGAAGAAATTCGCAAATGACATAACCTCAAATCTTTCTTCGTCTTGAGAAGAATTACCGCCCTTGAAAATCACATATTATTAAATGCAGGCGAAATTGCTGACCTGGAGAGTGTACAATGAAATTTCACGGCACACATAAGTACAATAAAGCACCTAAATTACTGGGAACGGTTGAAGTCCCATGATTTGTACTCCCTGGAACGCAGGCGAAAAAGATACATAATAATATCCACTTGGAAAATCCTAGAGGAACTGGTCCCAAACTTTCACAAGAAAAGCACTCCCTATGAAAGCAAGAGACTTGGCAGGAGATGCAGTATTCCCCCCAATGAAAAGCAGGGGCGCCACGAGTACACTGAGAGACAACACAATAAGTGTCAGGGGGCCAAGACTGTTCAACTGCTTCCCAGGATACATAAGGGGGATTACCAATAGACCCGTGGCTGTCTTCGAGAAGGCACTGAACAGCCACCTAAGCCAGTACCTGACCAGCCAGGCTGTGGTTCGTATGTCAGTTTGCGTGCGACCAGCAGTAACAGCCTGGTTGATCAAACCATGATCCGGGGGCGCTGACCCCCGAAACCCTCTCCAGGTATAAAAGATAAAGAACGAGTGTGACTGGATTTCCCAAGTGGAGGTAGTATGATGGGTGAGGGTTAGCCAAGACGCACCTGACGAAGATGCTGCAGAGGCAGAGGCCCAGAGCTAGGAGGAAGAAGCGTATTGACATTTGGCGGCGAAATTGAAGTAACAGACAACGTCTCATGCTTCCTTGTAAGGGCATGTTCCACCTGGCCGCTCCTGCAACACACGGTAATACTACATCACTGCTCCTGCAACACACAGTAACACTGTCTAGCCGGTCCTGCAACACACAATAACACTGTCTAGCCACTCCTGCAACACACAATAACACTGTCTAGCCACTCCTGCAACACACAGTAACACTGTCTAGCCGTTCCTGCAACACACAATAACACTCTCCAGCCGCTTCTGCAACACAATAACACTGTCTAGACGCTTCTGCAACACACAATAACACTGTCTAGCCACTCTTGCAACACAATAATACTGTCTGGTCGCTCCAGCAACACACAATTACACTAGCCGCTCCTACAACACGCACACAATAATACTACCTTACTGCTCCTGCAACACAGTAACACTATCCGCTATTGCAACACAAAACTACCTCACTGCTCCTGCAACATATGATAACACTGTCTAGCCGCTCCTGCAGCACACAATAACACTGTCTAAATATTGCTGAAGCACAATAATACTACCTCACTGCTCCTGCAACACAATAATACTACCTCACTGCTCCTGCAACACAATAATATTACGTCACTGCTCCTGCAACACAATAATACTACCTCACTGCTCCTGCAACACAATAATGCTACCTCACTGCTCCTGCAACACAATAATACTACTTCACTGCTCCTGCAACACAATAATATTATCTCACTGCTCCTGCAACACAATACTATTGCCTCACTGCTCCTGCAACACAATAATACTACCTCACTGCTCCTGCAACACAATAATGCTACCTCACTGCTCCTGCAACACAATAATACTACTTCACTGCTCCTGCAACACAATAATATTACCTCACTGCTCCTGCAACACAATAATACTACCTCACTGCTCCTGCAACACAATAATATTACCTCACTGCCCCTGCAACACACTAATATTATCTCACTGCTCCTGCAACACAATAATACTACCTCACTGATCCTGCAACACAATAATATTATCTCACTGCTCCTGCAACACAATAATATTACCTCACTAATCCTGCAACACAATAATACTACCTCACTGATCCTGCAACACATTAATATTATCTCACTGGTCCTGCAAAACAATAATACTACCTCACTGCTCCTGCAACACAATAATATTATCTCATTGGTCCTGCAACACAATAATACTACCTCACTGATCCTGCAACACAATAATATTATCTCACTGCTCCTGCAACACAATAATTCTACCTCACTGATGCTGCAACACAATAATACTACCTCACTGGTCCTGCAACACAATAATATTATCTCACTGGTCCTGCAGAACAATAATACTACCTCACTGCTCCTGCAACACAATAATTCTACCTCACTGATCCTGCAACACAATAATACTACCTCACTGCTCCTGCAACACAATAATACTACCTCACTGCTCCTGCAACACAATAATACTACCTCACTGATCCTGCAACACAATAATACTACCTCACTGCTCCTGCAACACAATAATATTATCTCACTGCTCCTGCAACACAATAATTCTACCTCACTGATCCTGCAACACAATAATACTACCTCACTGCTCCTGCAACACAATAATACTACCTCACTGCTCCTGCAACACAATAATACTACCTCACTGCTCCTGCAACACAATAATACTACCTCACTGCTCCTGCAACACAATAATATTATCTCACTGTTCCTGCAACACAATAATTCTACCTCACTGATCCTGCAACACAATAATACTACCTCACTGCTCCTGCAACACAATAATTCTACCTCACTGCTCCTGCAACACAATAATACTACCTCACTGCTCCTGAAACACAATAATTCTACCTCACTGCTCCTGCAACACAATAATATTATCTCACTGCTCCTGCAACACAATAATACTACCTCACTGCTCCTGCAACACAATAATATTATCTCACTGCTCCTGCAACACAATATACTACCTCACTGCTCCTGCAACACAATAATATTATCTCACTGCTCCTGCAACACAATAATACTACCTCACTGCTCCTGCAACACAATAATATTATCTCACTGCTTCTGCAACACAATAATACTACCTCACTGCTCCTGCAACACAATAATATTATCTCACTGCTCCTGCAACACAATAATACTACCTCACTGCTCCTGCAACACAATAATATTATCTCACTGCTCCTGCAACACAATAATACTACCTCACTGCTCCTGCAACACAATAATATTATCTCACTGCTCCTGCAACACAATAATACTACCTCACTGCTCCTGCAACACAATAATATTATCTCACTGCTCCTGCAACACAATAATACTACCTCACTGCTCCTGAAACACAATAATATTATCTCACTGCTCCTGCAACACAATAATACTACCTCACTGCTCCTGCAACACAATAATATTATCTCACTGCTCCTGCAACACAATAATATTGTCTCACTGGTCCTGCAGCACAATAATACTACCTCACTGATCCTGCAACACAATAATATTATCTCACTGCTCCTGCAACACAATAATATTACTCTCACTGCTCCTGCAACACATAATATTATTCACTGCTCCTGCAACACAATAATATTACCTCACTGCTCCTGCAACACAATAATATTACCTCACTGCTCCTGCAACACAATAATATTATCTCACTGCTCCTGCAACACAATAATACTACCTCACTGCTCCTGCAACACAATATATAAACTTACACTCATGCTCCTGCAATCACAATAATATTAGTCTCAACTGCTCCTGCCAACACAATAATATTACCTCATTGCTCCTGCAATACAATAATATTGTCTCACTGCTCCTGCAACACAATAATATTACCTCATTGCTCCTGCAATACAATAATATTGTCTCACTGCTCCTGCAACACAATAATACTACCTCACTGCTCCTGCAACACAATAATATTACCTCACTGGTCCTGCAACACAATAATAGTATCTCACTGCTCCTGCAACACAATACTACTACCTCACTGCTCCTGCAACACAATAATATTACCTCACTGCTCCTGCAACACAATAATGCTACCTCACTGATCCTGCAACACAATAATATTATCTCACTGCTCCTGCACACAATAATACTACCTCACTGCTCCTGCAACACAATAATATTACCTCACTGCTCCTGCGACACAATAATATTACCTCACTGCTCCTGCAGCACAATAATATTATCTCACTGCTCCTGCAACACAATAATATTAAATCACTGCTCCTGCAACACAATAATAGTATCTCACTGCTCCTGCAACACAATAATGCTACCTCACTGCTCCTGCAACACAATAATATTACCTCACTGCTCCTGCAACACAATAATACTACCTCACTGATCCTGCAACACAATAATATTATATCACTGCTCCTGCAACACAATAATACTACCTCACTGCTTCTGCAACACAATAATGCTGTTACTACGAGGTGAACATAGCCAACAACAAGGAGACTAACATCCAGGTACCTAATTACTGACTGTGCCTGAGACTGTGACCTAAGGCGCTACTACTGATACACAAGCCACACTTTTTCTATAGAGATAAAGTCACGTGACTTGGTATGTTTGTCCGCCATTTTGAAGATCAAACATACGTTTTGCATTTATAACACAGATGGCAATGGTATATATACACTCTTATTGAAAATAGGAATTACTGCATCAGTGCTTGAAAATTCTTATATGAATATTAAAATCTCGCAGAATTATGTTTCTAATTTTTCACAATTTTATCGTGACTTGACCGTCAATATGGCGGAAAATCACCCTGGTATCTTTCCAGGAAAGTAAGAATTTTTAGGCAGAGGAATAGGCAAGCCGTCAATATCGTTATTTTTCCATGATATAGATGAAATTCAAAGGCTGTCAATTGTGTCTATCACTACTGTCTCCACTTCCTGTTGTCTTCCTCCTCTCTTTGTTCCCGTCGCTGCTCTCCTCTCGCATATATTGGCTCCCTTACCTTCGTGTGTTAGTGTGCGAGTAGTTAGTGGTTCTATGTGCAAGTTATTTGTGTATTATCACCCTACCTTCTCCCAGAGGACGCCTATACACACACACACACACACACACACACACACTATCCGCAAATTTTAATGTAAATAACCTACGATACAATCAAATTTATTAGTAAGACATATGTGCAGCACCTGGGTGTCTTTATTATTGAGACGTTTCTCCCATCAGCGGCTTATTCAACTTTTTAACTCCCCGGTATATAACCTTTGTATTGGAATGACAAAGTCACTAGTCGACCAAACGTCTTGGTAATAAAGATACACAGGTGTTCCACGTGTGTTTTATTCACGAACTTTGTTACATTAATGGTACTGTATACCATTAATGTAACAAAGAAAATAAAAACCAATGCTGTGGTGGATATATGACATATAACACTTGCTTCAGGGGAAAGAATCGTCGACTAGACGTCAGGACTGAGGCAGTGAAATCTATCTGGGTGAAATTTTGAGGACGTTAAAAGTTAATGGTAGGTGTGTTATTCAGACCTAGAATTTAGAGAGCAATTAAGGTAGACTAATTTGAACAAAGTCTATAAGGCTTTAGGGGACAAAAGTGTTGAAGTCTTGGGTGATTTTTAATTATAGCCGTAGCTCTGTTGGTAGCATACTCTGCTAACACACTGAGTGTTCGTGGTTCGATTCCCGTTACGGGTGGAAGCATTGGGTGTGTTTCCTTAAGACGCCTGTTGTCCCTGTTCACCTAGTAGTAAGTAGGTACCTGGATGTTAGTTGACTGGTGTGGGTCGCATTCTGGGGATAAAATTAACCTAAGTTGCCCGAAATGCTCTGCATAACCAGGGGTTTTCTATACAGTGTCATTGATTTAACCTATGGTCTGTATAAGTTGTATCCAGTGCTTGTGTAAATAAAGATTATTATTATAATGACATACTATACTGAAAGCCCCTTGTTATGCAGATCATTTCGGGCAACAAGTTAATTTTATCCCCAGGGTGCGACCCACACCTATCGACTAACACCCAGGTACCTACTTACCACTAGGTGAGCAGGGACAACACATG